AATTGGTGCAGGGAAAGATGAATCCTGTAATTCTCCCCCACTTGTGAAAATAGGAAAGGCAAAAAAAACCCACCCTGCTTGTTTTGGCTGTGCTGATCTAATGAGGGAGAGAGGAAAAACCTACCTCCCAGCTCTATTTCCCAGGTAATTACGCTTGATGATGATTTACCAGCCACTCCACCATTCACACAGGCTTCATTTCATAACAATCTCTCTCAAAAGGAAACCTAATTAGTCTCTGACCCTTGCTTGATGCCGAGCTTTGGTTTTGCTTTTGCTTTACTTTTCTCCCCTGGTAGCACAAAATAATTGACTGGCTCTTCCTATCCTGAGCGTGCTTGACTCCTGGTGCACAAGCCCTTCTCTGTCAGAGGTGGCTGCATTCTGGGGCAGGTGGAGCGATGGGGAAAGTCCAGCAGGGCAGGAGGAATGTGTGAAGTTGTGTGCTCTGGAGCTGTTTGCTTTCAAATAAGTAAACAAGTGATGAATCGACACTTGTAAAGCCTTTGGCTTCTTACAGCAGTGTCCAAGCAACTCGTCAATAACGTATTTAATTGCATCCTCTTTAAGACTGTGTAACTCTGAAGACTGCCCAAGCACTTGGAAATTATCTTCTTTTCAAGCCCCTTAGGGGATACATTTTCTGCTGAAACAATCAGGGAAAAAAAGGAAGGTTTATTGTTGTTTGGCCCCTCAAGCCTCGGTGCATCAGAGCTTAGAGGAGGTCAGGTCTGTGTCTCACAGAGGCTTCCCATGGCACCGGCACTGATGCTGGCACGACACCTCCAGCAACAGTCCCACCCCGGTGGCTTCCCTCCATCAGTGCCCCAGCCTCAGCCCAGGCATCCTGCTCCTGCCTGTAGAGACATGCTCTGCAGCCAAGCACAAGGGGCAGGAGGTGTGGGGCCCAGCATGGGATGAGGTTTCTGCCGTTGGATGACTGGGTTTGTTTAGTTGCGCTCAAGTGGCGCGGAGCCCATCAGCCAAGGTGTGTGGAGCACATGAGTAATAAAACAAACGTGGCCCTTGTCTCTGCCTCCTGACACAAGGAGATGAGTGCAACGCCCTGCACAGGGGCGCTGAAGCAAAGTTGGGGGGTAGCAAGGGGTGAGGTGGAGCCACTGTAAGCCCCTTCAACATGCTGTGACCTCCGTAAGTAGGGCGTAGAAACAAATGATGCTCACAGGGGTGTTTTTGGACAACCCATGGTCACAGTGCTGTGACACCACCATGAAAACAGGTACAAAACACAAGGTAATCAAAATGCTACCTGCTTCTGGGTGGGACAATGCCAAACCAGTTCTTACCCACTGTGGTTTTTTGGGTGGAGATGGAGTAGGACTATGCTAAGCAGGGGGCATTCATCTCTAAGGCTACTGAAATCCTGTCCCAATCTAC